TAATCTGAACACAAGGGACAGAATTCCTTTGGTGACACCAATACAGAAATCAGAAACACTGCGTTCTGATGAGAGATTTATATTAGGTTCGTGTGTATCTTTTAGAACAGATGTTCTGGACATGTGGTCAAAGAGGCCTCCTTGAAGAGTTGCAGAAGACCTAACAAAAAATTTCTTGAGATGATATGAAAACATGTGTAGATGTATACATGTCTTTTCTGGAAATAAGGTCATAACTTTTATCAAAGCACTATGTAGGTGGTCCATATTTTTCATGACCCAAAAAAGGTTCTGAAAAACTAATATAGAAAGTCAATGCATTCAGTAAGTGAACAGCACACTGACGACTTTGATTATTTTTTAAGTACATCAATTCTATGAATGAACTATTGCCAGCTCAAACTTGAATAAGTACTTATTACACACGTGGCTTTAATGCTTATCTGTAGTATTTCCTCTCTACAAATGGAGACTTTAAAGTACAATAAACAATAATTTGCTGCAAAGAAGTGATTGAAAGGGCCAGAGTTCTTAATTCTTATGCTAAGTCTTATTCACTGCCTCAAACAGTTTACTACCAAAACTCAAACTGTTTTCAAGAAAACGTAAAAGCAATTCTGGATAATATGCATTGAATCTGTCGCTACTTTTTGTTATTTGTTTAGCTACAATGTGATTTATGCTTATGGCATCCCCTATATTGTATTAATGCAATAAAGTGAGAAAAAAATGTTAGACAATAAATTCAAAAGTAAGCCAAACTATGAATTTTACTTTTAATCTTCCCCTATAAAGGAGTTTCAAATAAAGTTGTATTCTCTTACAGCTATGACTTCACCTATATATAAATGTTCCAAATGTTTACTGATTCATTTAACAAATATTTATTAAGTGCCAGGCATTGTGTTAAGCTCTGGAGTCATAAGCCACTGATTCATAGAGTTCTAGTTATACAGATGATAGTCAATGACTTTCTAATGCCATTTGCAAAATATCTCTAAGACTTCTAATTGCTAATTAGAAAACTATGATATATTTATAAGCTACAGCCATGCGACTCTTCGATTCATAGAAACTATTAAATATGCTACTAAAGTCAAGTAAGAACCACAACCACATATTATGTGTATGATGGTAGAAAAGAAGTATTATTTATATCTGTAACTAGTACTATTTAGACAAATTTTCTTTCACCCTCACTTGGCTGAAAGCTACCATGATATCTAGTCTAAAATACAGTTACACTTAATTTTTATCTAGCATTAAAACTATGTTTAAAATTGTGCTTCCTAATTCCTCCTCAGATAATGCTTCAGTCTTGATTAAGAGGCAAGGAAGTCTAATGTTCAAACGTGGAAACTGTGTCCTTCCCACACAACCCAGCAGACTTCTCTGCAAGTTCCCAGCATTAGTCAGTACTGAGTTTTAAGATCTGATTAACCTAAAGCCAAAAGTAAAAATAAGTGACAGTTAATAAAAATCACAGAATTTCAGAACTAAATAGATTATCTAATTTTCATTCCTCATAAAGATGAAGAAACTGTGATCAGGAAAAGTTTATTGTTCAAGGTCACCCAAGTTAAGGAAAGAGCTTTGGTTAGAGTTTTCTAACTCCTAATCCAGTGCTCTTTTTAATACGTAAAAGAAACTGTTGTAAGAAATTAGAAAAAATTCTGAGAAAGAAAAATTACCTTTAATTACAAACATGAGTGAACCATAACTCAGATGCACTTAATAAAGTCTAAATTAAAACTATATTTTATTTAAAAAAATAAGAAGTAAAGAAAGTCAAAGCTGAAAAATAATAGATCACTCTTCTGGGATATGGCCTTCATGCAGGTCAATCCAGTTATAATCAACTTTAAGAGTCTGCTCCAATTATATTTTAGTTCTGGAATTATTTCATATTGAATAATACTCAAAATTAGTAGTGTACTGGCTAGGGAATAGACATCTTTTTGAGATTTCTGTTGTAATGGGTTTTGACCAGCAACAGTATATTAAAGCAAGACTTCAAACTTTCACCTTCACTTCCTATATTTCCAGTTTTGGCCTCTTCTCTCCCTACCCGTACAAAGTAATAAGGACTAGAATTCCCATTTCAATTTCGTCTTTATTTTTCAAAATTTAAACAGTTTGTTTCATTATTGTTGAAGTTAATTTCTTCAACATTACTATATATCTAAGAGCAAAATCCTGTTAGAGAAATTAATGATGATAGAGATTTTGCCAAATCCAAGATATAAAAAATGTAGACACTGGAAGACTGACTTTCATAACTTTAAAAACTAAGTGGTGCTTGAATGGTCAAGAAACTGTGGAATACTATTCTAGCCAATTCATTTTTCAAATTAAAATGAGTTTACAAGCCCTAGATAAGAGAGTTTCTTTGGGCTTTTACCACTACTCAGTAGTAAGAATAAAAGAAATCCGCTGTATATTTATTGGACTTGAATTCTGGCTCAGCTGGATGTATAAGTAAAATAAAGAGATCAGAACAACAGATCGGCATGGTTATTTCTCAAACATAAAGTGTATTTGTGAGTCCCGTGAAAGTAAAAAATAGTTACATGAAACACAGGACATATTTTAAAGTTTGAAAAGTCTGTTGTATTAGAAAAACATAAATCTATATTAATACAAATACAAGAATTTCCATATTAAACATAGTGAAGGCATACATGATGTTTACTAAATGCTAGCCACAGTTTTAAGTACTTTTCATATCCCAATCTATTTAATTCTCACAGTAAGCTTTTCAGGTGGGTATTACTGTTATCCCCATTTTACAAACAAGGAAGCTAAGGCACACAGCTAATCAGTGGCAAAGCCAGATTTTAAGCTCAGTCTGACCCCAGACAGAATTTGTTGTTTCAGCACTGTACTATAATGATTGACTTCTTAAAAACTGTTAGCTTTGTGGAATTTATCTTTAAATCATTTTGTTATCAAAATTTAAAGATACTTATATTTCAGTTAAACAAGCTCATTATGAAACCCTTTAATCCTTGACTGTCATATCTTGAGGAACACACTGTTAACTAATGTTGATTCTATAAACATTTAGCCTCCTCTCTATTTGGCAAACCCATGTTACAAGAACTATGCTGGATACTTTTACACATTGAACTTTTTCCAGAGGAAAACATCATTATGGATAATCTAAATAACCTCCATAGCCCACCTGTGATATGTGCTGTACAGCAATGAAAAAGTTCTGCCTCGCACAAGAACTTGTGGTTGAGGTTCTCCCTCAAGATCGTATACAATTCAACAGACAAACCTTGTCGGTTCTACAGCCTAAATCTCTCCCAATTATAATCTTTCTTTTCAACTCTACTGTAATGACCACAATCAAGGCTTCAGCACTTCACATCTCCTTCCAGCATCAGACTCCTCCAGTATCCTTTACGGTGGCAGTGCAGGGGGATGTGGGGCCAAGGGGCATACTGAGAAGACTGGTTGGGGCCTCTATGCATTAAGCTTCAGTAGACCCTCATGTCACCACAAATGGACATAAAGTCTACATTTTAAAAAAGTGTATTTGCTATTTAAATATAGCTTCAAGACAAAAATATCTACCTCTGTCTAATCAAATTGTCATACCAGCCTCTCTCACAGAAACATCTAGAAAACCAGCACTGACCTCCTACAATACTAAATCAATAATCTTTGTAAAATGCAAATGAAGTCATATTATTCCCATTCATCTCTCCAAGATTTAAATTCCTTAAAATATTATATAAAGTTCTTCATGATTTGGCTACCCTTCCTTCCTTACCTCATCTATTTTCCCTTGCCCATCCAAACAAGCCATGTGAATAACTGTATTTCTCTGAACATGCCTCGCTCTTTCAGGCCTTCACATTTTCCAATGCTACTCCTTTTGTTAGAAATGGCATCCCCACCACCCTGCTTAGAAACCCAACTAACTGGTGCTCCCAGTATGAGATTCAGCTCGAGCACCATATCCTCCATAAAGCCCTCCTTAAACTTCAGAGATCTTCCCTTCCTTCCAACATTTCTTTCCCTTAAAGAAAAGATCTAGGACCAACCTCCTCTCAATTACCATAACACACCAAGTATAAATACCTCTAGTCTAGCCAGGTCAACATAATTCAATGGTCCTCTCACAGTTTCATTTCCACCTTGTACTTGTTGAAAAAACTCAGCTTTACCTTATTTATCACTGTATCCTTCCTGCTTAACACAATGCCCAGCACTCATAGTTAACATTTATTGAGTTGGAATTAAATTCTCTATACAATGTAGTAACAGATATGTACACTAATGGAAAAATGTAAACAATATTGATAATCGTCTTCACAGAAATAAAAGACTTAACCATTTTGGTTTTCATAATAAAATTAAAATATTAAGCTTATGATATAGACCTATAAAATTTGGGACTTTCATGCCTCACTTGTTTAAATTCTTAAAATCACATTTTTAAAATGTGCAGTGATTCTAATTTAAGAACCCACTGATGCATATTACTTCTGTTTATTTGGTCATTGTTAAGTAGAACTTTTTTCTTTTTAACTAAAATAAATTGGTAACTTAATTATGCTAACATTGTTCATTTTCATTTTTTCCTAAAGGAATGGCCACATGTGGAATGAAAAGCATTTTCATTATTCTTGATAAATGTCCTATTTTGTGTGATTTGGGGCAGTTTCTCACTCGGACTGCCAGCCTCTTATGAACGTTATGATTTGCAGATGTGTAGTGTGCATTAAAGAACAAGAAGATATCATGAAATATTAGTGACAATTATACACTGGGCAAGGAAACTGGACAATGTTCCAAAGGTTGTAAGGATTGTGGAAATGAATGTTACTCAAAGCAGAGTGGTGATTTATAACCAATTTCCGTCTTCAAATTAGGGCTCAAGTAAAAGAAAACGAAATTTAGCAAAGCATGATGGTGTATCATTTCCTGCAGCAGAAACACCCAGTTGGCCTGGTGCCTTCACTATGAACAGTACAACAAGCAGCAACCTGAGGGAAGCCCACAGGCTCGAAGGGCTACTGGCTGGCTCTTTGTCACCAAATGCAGCAGGTTGAATGCAGACATCACTGTGATATCTTCACCAACAAAACGAGAAGCAAAGAACAGGGGCAAGAGCTGAGTAGGAGAAAAAAACAAAAACAAGAAAAAACAAATTAAAACATCACAAATATTGAACACATTCATTGCACAACTGATGGCTACAGTTTTATCTGGAGCTGAACACATGCACATATTGCTAATAAATTTCAAATGCCTATTTTTCAGCCAGTGAGCTTACTTTCAATCTAGCTTTATTTGTATGTTAGAGATAAAATACACACTATGTAATAGCAGCGTAATCTGTGAACACAGTTTGCAAGAGGTTGAGAACAAAAGAGGAAGTTTAAAACAGTTGAAAGGAATTAGCATTTACTGAGTTTGTACCATGTGACAGGAACTGTCTGGAGCCTAATACACACATTGTATCATTTAATTCTTACAATAAACCCAGGAGGTAGGTTTTACGCCCCAATACATATGTGAGGAAACTGTGACTCAAAGGTCCAAGGGCACAAAGCAAATAACCAGTGGGAAAAGGACTAGAAAACCATAGACTGCAGAGTCATGTTCTTTCTTTACACCATGCTGCCTTCTAGCAATTATTGGCAAATCTCTCTCCCTGGAGAAGGCTATAAAATATCATAAGATTAAGAGATACATTTTGTTAGAATTTCATTTTGTAAGATAGAGAGCCAGAAATCCTAAGGACAATTAAGAGACTTCACTTTCGAAACAGCATTAAGTTTTAATAAAGCACGGCAAATATGAATTTTCATTTAATTGTATGATTTATAACTTCTAGGTCAATTCTGTGAATAATATTCATGATTTAGTAATAAAAAGTATAAAATGTTTTTTAATGTATTTGGAAATGAATTAATTTTGTATTTGGAAATGAATTATGTGGAAGAATCTAAAAACTGTAGATATTAAACTTCAGAGAAAGTTCGATTCCTAGGATTTTCTTAAAAGTTTTGTACAATTTTTCAATTGATAAAGATTAACTTTAAACAGAAATGGAAAATATTAGATTAATAAACTTCATATTTGTTATTTCAAATTATCATTTTAAGTGACTTTAACCATCAAATGTCCAAAAATTAATATAAAATTAATGTCTTATTCATTTCCTGAACACTTCCCCTGCTCCCCACCCCAAAATAAAAGTCTGTTCCGGACTCTTCCGATCTCCTTGAAGAACAAACATATAATAAACAGTAATATATTTTACTAAATCACTCTGGAGTGTATCTGACAGAAATCTGCTTGTATTAACACGCCTGAACTCTGACTTCCCCAAACTAAACTCACTACGAGACTAAAATATTTTTGTGTTACTAACTGGAGACAAAGGAGAGGAAAAAGGAAGGTAAGTATCACAATGCACAGCCTGAAAGAACCATTAAACATAAATAAACATGTCATTTTCACGAGTGACTCCAGAGCAGGGAAAAGAGAGCATTCCTTTGGAGCAGACTACCGCACCGACTAATAAAAGATCAAAGGTCTATACCTCACAACACTATAAATAAAAATGTATTTTTTCCTTGTGACCCTTCTCTGTGAGGAATAAAGTGCACATGGTAAATGTAATTACTTAGCAAAGCTGCAGCCTCACTGTGCTTCCACAGCTGACCATAAAACGTCTTCCTATTCTGTTTCATCAACTCCTGTACCAGGCAGCCTGAGCGCCTACCGACCACCATGGCCATGTGGCTTATGTCAAAGCCAGCGCACAGGAAGAGAGGCAGTGATGTCACTCTGCAGGTCAGGGAAAGAACAAAGATGCATTCTACAATTAAAAGCTGAGGGCCACAAATACAGGGAGCCCTGCAGCATGACATGTCTGTGTGATTTAATATTCTGAGTTGCCTGTATTTCTACCCAAATAGCCAGGGCTCCATCTAGTGGCAAAATAGTTTTGCCCAGTTTTTTGAAAACAGAAGACGCAAACAGTATGACATTAGCGCCAACAAAATGGGGCAATGACAATGACTGCTTTCAGAGCAGTCTAGTTTTTATACTGAAGAATGCAAAAAGCACAATTTTTCACACTGTTCTCCATTTTCTAATCCTATGAGGAATGCATTTCATAGGTTAGGATTTGATATTATCCTAATTATTTTAATGCTTGCATGGATAGTAGGAAAGGAGTGAAGTTTGCAAAATGCATGCAAAGTGGCATTACTCACAAACCACTCTGAAAATATGTAGCTGAGATGTAAAGTGAAAAACAGTTCAAAAAACAGATGTATGCATCTTGATGCCTTGGTTAAATCAAACTCATAATCTTACACTTCCACGGAACAAAAGAATCATAGTTAATATGGCTCTAACATGTGTTTTTATGCTGAAATGGTTTTAACAAAATTATTTTTAGCTCATGTTTTCCATCTCATTAATGTTTACACTTTAACAAACAGAGCTAAAATACATATGTTACCGTGAAAGATGGGATATCACAAGAGATGCGTGTGATCCATGGACACAGACTGTCTGGGTTTGAATGCTGGTCATGCCCTTAACCAATTCTTAACCTTGGACAACCTGCTTACCCTCTCCAGGCCTCAGCTTCCTCACTTATACGATAATTATTAAATAAGCTAGCTGGTAAAAAGTACTTGGTACAACTCTTGGCACATAGTATATGCTCAGGAAATGTTAGTTACTATTATTATGTAAATATGCCAAATATTTGCTGCAGTTTTAACTGTATGAATTAGAAAATTTTAACAGTCCTTTTATATCTACCCTTACTTAGAGTTAGCAAGCTATTCTCCAAAGAATCCTATTTAGGCCAGAAAACTACTACTTGGTTTTCCAAAGTAAATCATCCTAAAGAAAACAATAGAACAGAGAAATCCTAAAGATAGCAGTTGGCTGTGCACAGGGCATATGCCATGCACTACTCTAAGCACTTCACATATATTAGCCTTTTAATCCTCACAACCTCATGAGGCACATACTATCATTTTCCCATTTTTAAATATAGAGACTGAGGCATAGGGAGGTTAAGTAATTGGCCTAAAGTGTCACAGTTAGTAAGGGACAGGGACCTTAAGTAATTGGGTAATCTAATTTATACATGTAAACTCGGGCCATTTAGCTCCAATGTCAGTGCTCTTGACCACTATACAACTGACAATGAAAAGCCTCAGGATGCACTAGCCAACTCTAGATATTCTGATTCTATGTTTCCCTGCTAGGTAGTGTGATAAACATGTAATAAGGAAACTTAATTCAAGAAGATTACTTAATGGCTAGGTGAGATGGCTCACGTCTGTAATCCCAGCACTTTGGGAGGCCAAGGGGGGCAGATTACTTGAGGTCAGGAGATTCAGACCAACTGACCAACATGGAGAAACAAAAAATACAAAAATTAACTAGGCGTGGTGGCGGGCACCTGTAATCCCAGCTACTCGAGAGGCTGAGGCAGGAGAATCACTTGAGCCTGGCAGGCAGATGTTGCAGTGAGCTGAGATTGTGCCACCACACTCCACCCTGGGCAACAGAGCAAGACTCTGCCTCAAAAAAAAAAAGGTTACTTAGAGATTCTCTCCCTTGACACTGAGAGGAAAAAACAGGGAGCTAAGGAGGTGAAAAGTCTGAGACATTCTCAGATTTCTAGATTTGATCTTTCTAGTTCTATCACATGCAACTGCAACTTACAACTAACTATCCCTTATAATTAGTAAGGGACAGGGTCTTTAAATAATTGGGTAATCTAATTTATACCTGTGAACTCAGGCCATTTATCTCCAATGCCAGTGCTACTGACCACTAGACAACTGGCAATAAAAAGCCTCAGGATGCACCAACCAACTCTAGATATTCTGATTCTATCTTTCCCTACTAGGTAGTGTGATAAACAGGTAATAAGGAAACTTAATTCAAGAAGAATTCACCTTCAAATTTTTTCTCTAAATTCCTTGGATATACCTTCAGAATCTGTAAAGCTAACTCTACGTTAATCTACCAAAACTTCAGTATGTTGACAATATGGTACTTTTGAGGACCAAACAAACAGCTACTTCCACTCCCAGACACCCTAAATTCAAGTTTCAATTTGTTAGCTTTCTTCCATTTGTAATCCCTGAACTGCCTGAGTGAAGACCATTGCCAGAAAAAGTCCTAGTCCAAAAAGAGGCAAAAGCTTAGCATTAAACACCCTGTAGAAATCAGCATTGAGCAAGGATCACAGAAAATCCGTAATTCTCCAAATTTATTCTCAACTTCCTCACTTTTGCATTGCCTTTTATTCAATTAACTACATGGATGAATAACATTTATAGATAATCCACCTGCCTTGGCCTCCCAAAGTGCTGGGATTACAGGCGTAAGCCACCACACCCGGCCTAATCAACATGTTATTTTTTAAAAAGCCAGACAAGATGTCTCATGAATCTTCCTAATTTCCCAAAATATCTGGTACATAATTTTGAAAATAGTGGGTATTACTGAACCATACCTAATGAGCAGTATCACATCATGTGTTAAGAACAGAATTAGATTCCATAATTGTCCATAATTTCTTGCTTAAAACATTTTGATGATTCCCCATTGTATATCACAGGGTTCTCCAAACCATGTTCTGAGAAACACAAGATAGCCCTTCAAACAAGTTAAGTGATCAAAGTCATGGAAATTCTAACCAATATACAGAGTCTGAGAAGTCTTCAGCAAATATACCTGCTTAACTTTGTCTCAATTGGTGCCTTTGAAATGTTTTTGATCATACAAAACCCCTTTCTGTCCTATCACCCAAACCCCAGGAGAAGGAGTGGCATTCTGGTAAATTCTTCTGAGAAAGCCCAAATTCCTAAACAAATCACCTAAAGTATCTAAAGTTCTGCATTCAGCTGCTGCCAAACTCTTCAGCCTTTTCTCTTGCCACACCTCCACAACCCACCACACCCCACACTCCTGCCATACCAACATGGTGGTAATTTTCCTGATAGGTCAGCTGTTTCCTATTTCCACTTCCATGTCTTCATTCCAGATCCTTACTATCTTTGCCACCACTCCCAACCCCTACCATTCCTAATGCCTCCAATTCTAGTCCACAGTATAGCACCAAATATACCATCACATCCCCTG